GGAGAAAAATCGTGAGTAGCGTTACAGGTAACACCCTGTAGATTTAGTTAAAAAGTTGTAACTAATTTATATTAGTTAAAGTTTAATTTTAATTCAAATTGTTCTGTTAACACAATTTCTACCAGGTTTTTGTGCATACTTAGGTTAGATTAAAGGTGTCTTTTAACACCTTTTCGTTTGAATGCAAATAATTGCCAAAACTGTTGGTATTTCAAATTATCAGTGAAATGTAGATAATTTGAGGAAATGTAGATAATTTGCAGGAATTTGAGGATAAATTGATACATTGATGTGATTTTATTAAAGATTATTTAATCAGGTTGTAAATTCTAGCTTAATTCATCAATCTACAAAATTTAAATATGGCGGTGTACATTAAAATGCAACATGGATGAAAATAAACAAATACCAAAGTTATGTCGCAACTCTTGTATTTTCCGTTGCAACTGAAATAGGGATTCTCTAATCCGATTATAATTGATCTGATGTTGCAAAATAGTGTTGATATTTGTATGTAAAATGGTTTAAAATTAGGCACTGTCATGAAACCCTTAAGATGTCAAAAGACACCTCGCAGCAGAAATAAGTATACAATATACACATTTTTAGATCTAGAATGAGCTGAAAGAAAATAACATCGCAGAATTAATTTAACAACTATTGTATGAAAAATAAAAAATTAATTGTGGAGAAATGAATCGACTTAGAGAATAATTTTATATTAAAACTTGAAAGGTTTCTTCTGACATGTCTTGGTAGAAACAGTGTAAACTGTATAGTGTGTGTGAGTCACCTTTCGAGTACAAAGGGTTAAAGTTTTATTATTCCTGTTATCTATATTTATGTATTTAAAGTTCCTGTTATTATTATTGGTAAGGTGAAGTGGGGTAAGTGCAGACTGGTTTTTGTAAAGTTGGTATGTAAACATAAGTCTTTTCAGTCTGCTATGTAAATACTTAACGCGGTTGACATCGAATACTTCGCACAATTAGTACTATTTAATTAATATTAACTAGGACCTTAATTTTCCTTGTACATTTTGATTTTGATAGGAAATTGTTTAAAGTGTCAACTACTCTGCACTTTCCCCGAAAATGGTTGCACTTTCCCCGAAAATG